GGGGAAGAGGGGAAGTAACCCTAAGAGCTACGGTATGTTATGAAGTTCCACTTTCGTGCCACCTTTTGCACGAGTACCTTTGCCCAACCCGGGGCTTTTCCCCCTTAGATTGGGCGTTCATGTTCCCATAGTGGAACCTAAATGGGCATTTCAGATGGGTTTTCTTCCTTTTTTTCTATTATTTACAATATTGTCATTAGTTATTGAGCAGGTAACCTCCCGTTTCTGAACACGGGGTGTTCCTTTACTGAAAAATGGCCCACCTTGTGGTGGTTCTGTTGGACTGCCTGTGGACTGCACACCGTTCGATGACGTTCGTTGATGGAAACATCGAAAATGAAAAATGCGATCGTCGGCTGTGGTGAACTCGGGATGAAACGAGACCGCCAATGAAGCCTCAAGAAAAACCCCTGGAGGCGATTTCGAGCTGCAATAACGAGAAGATAGCATTTCATAGAAAAGCTGCCTTTAAAAAACAGTCAGGTTTGCTTGAACTCAATGAACTCACCGCTTTCTCATCACAGCGCATTCCTCATGCGGTATTAACACTTCAATCTGATTGTTTGTGACTAATACCTGAATGAACCGTTTGAGCCCTCTAGGAGATACTGAACTCTGAGAGATGTACTATAAACAAGTTGTCGGATACATGGCGCACCCCAAACCGATCGATAGAAGTGGCGCGAGCTAATTCTTAAGTACCGGATGGTATTCTCTCCGGACTTCAGTGGTACAGGTTTCCAACGAATAGTAATACAGTAGATTGCTCAAAGGCTAAGTCCATCAGAGTACACCATCGCTAGGAGAGTCAGGTCGGGGGTAGAACTGGGAAAGGAAACTTCGGGAGACGTACTGACTACCACCTCACCCAACCCGACGCTCTACCTCCGAGTCCGTGCTGAGCAAAGGCGAAGCACCATCGCTTTTCCTCTTTGGTGTGTTCCTAATTTCAGGATGGTAATAAAGAAGAGAACACGTTGATAAGCCTCCCTCTGGCTAACAGTCAACGCGGACTGTATCTTTAAACTAAAACTGAAGCGACTTTTGACCGAATGCGGTGACTCCAGTTTGATTTGCACAAGCAAATGCAGACAAATCAAGAAATTTTGAAGAAAGACCCCATCAATGCTTAGACCTCATTATTTTGAGAACTTCACCATTTGTATTCGTATTCAACGTAGTTTACTTAATTTTCAAAACTGGTATCGGCGCTTTTCGGGAGGGCCACGTCAGGAGACGTGGAATGAGCCCTCCCGCGGCGTTTGCTACCATGGTTATTCTGCACCTGAATCGACCAAAGTGGTAGAAAACGCAGGTAGGCGTTAGGCTCATTCTTGCATCCTGACATCCTACGCCGGATTGCGACTATCAACTACCTACGGAATCCCATTGAATTCTCT